CTGTAGGATCAGAGTGGCTTCCGTGGTTGGGATGTGGATGGGAATGAGGATGATGGGGGACTTTAAGTGTCCCCACCTTTACTCTTCCCCTGGCAGTCACAGCTGGTGAAGAGCCCTTATGTGCTGGGTTCTATGCTGGAAATCGGTCTTCCTGTCCACTTAGCCCTTGGGTGAATCATTTGCTCTGTGGAGAATGACAGGCAGACGGCAAAGCCTCTGACACCAGGCACTGGGCTTGACCTGGAGGAGCTGGGATAGGACCCTAGGGGACTGGGTCAGTCCTGCAGCTGGGGTGCCTCAGCAGGGGCTTGGGGAACGGGATGCTGCATCAAAGGGGTGCTCCTGGGTGGGTGATGGGTGTGTTTCCAAGGTCAGGAACTACAGGTGAGAAGTTCATCATGAAACGCTCCCTCCATGTTGTAGATAAAACAGTGGCCTGACTCTTAGGGCCATGGAGATTCCCCGTGAGACCTGAGAAGATGCTTAGTCCCCCAAAGTCCTACTCTGGGGGTAGCAGTTGGCCACGTGGGGAGTTGTAATGGATGCGCCAACAACCAATGCTCAGACAACTAGAAAGGTTTAATAACTTCTAAATCAGAGCAGAACTATATTTCCCCATAAGAACATCCTCCTTGCCAAATCTTCCTCATGTATTGATAGAATAGACACAGCAGCTGCTCTTTAAGTCCCTTCTCACTGGGTCCTCCCTCCTGGAAGCTGCTTGGCTGGAACGCTGTCCGTGGTGCTGAAGAACACCATATATCTAAGGGCTTGGGAGCTGCGATCTCTACTGGAGTCCAGCTCCAACCGGGGCCAGGCTTCCATAAGGACGAGACAGCGTAGGCGATGTGGAGGGATGAGGGGAGAGGGGATGAGGTGGATGAGGTAATGAGGAGACACCGACACTTGATCAGGGTGCAGACATCTCCCACTGATAGCCTCAGCAGGGCTTTATTTATAACATCAGAAATTGTTATGTGATCATTACATCATGCAGTCATGATTGATTTTACTTTTACATTGTTTCAGAAATTATTAATGATTATTAACAGTGCACAGTCCTTTTTCTAATTTTCCTAGTCTATGACTAACTTGGTCACTTGGTTACATTAACTTGGGTACATATTTTCCTAGGTGATGTATATTATTCAGAAAATAGAAACAGGTGCTTTACGCAACATGATTTATGCAGTCAAGCTAGGTAACTAAAACAAAGCTAAGCAGGCATTGTAAAATTGAGGGCGGCTTTCTATTTTCTGTATGAAACCAAAGTGTCCCGGTGCCATGGGAACAGTATGTGGTGTGTTTCTCCCAGACCATTTCGCCTCCCGGGGCGCTTCAGGGCCTTCTCTAGTGAGGGACTTTTGCCGGGCTCAATTCGGAGAGCTTTGTCAAGTGTGGCTTGCTAAAGAATTCGGTATTACTCATAGTAACAGAATTATAAATTGGAGGATGTGGACAAATATTGGGAACCGTTTCACTATTAATCATGTTGGAAGGTACTTTTCTCAAACTACTGAGGTGTGCATTACCAAAACTGGCATTGATGCCAACACTCATTGTGTTAGTTTAAAACTTATAGAAAATTTCCATGGTTTCAATAACTGGTACAAACAAATGAAAGGAAGTAGCAGGAGCCAGCTATGGAGCTTTCTGACTTTTCAGAAATTTCCCCCATGCCTGGACCTTGTCAGACAAGGTAGCATGGCCCACGCCAGATCTCCCAGTTGCCTCTACTTTCTTTTCAATCTTAACATCTATAATTTCTAACAAGAATAGGAATGGAGGGCTTCAGGGTGTGGACTGGCCTCTGTATCCATTGCTAATGGGGAATGAGTGTGCTGTGGACATCTCTGCAGGAACTTAGCCCACAGCGAGGGTGACCACCTCCAGGCTGCCCACCAACAGTTTGTAGTGAAGAAGATGAATAACTGGAGAGGTGTGTAGACAGAACAAGAGCCCCTCAAATATTTAAACACAATAATCCTTGGAATCTGTGAATGTGTTGTGTGATAAAGGGAATTTACAGATGTCCTTATGATTATGTGATGGGAGATTATGGTGGTTTATTGATTGGGCCCAATAGAATCGCAAGGACCCTTTCTCATATGTGACAGAGGGAGGAGGCCAGAGCCAAGGAGGATATGTGCTGGTGGAGACAGAGCAGAGATCTCAAGGGACTGTACTATGGCTGTGAAGATAGAGGAGGGGCCTGAGCGGAGGAAAGCAGGCAGCTTCCCACAGCTTGAAAAAACAAGGAGAAGTCTGGCCCTTGGGGTCCAAGAAAGGATAGTCATGTTGACACCTTGACGTGTGATTTGCTCCACTATTTGTCATCATTTACTACAACAGTAATGGGAAAGTGAAAAGAAACCTCTTGTCTAACCCAAGATTGTGTGCATGTGGGTAAGGAGTAAGCTAGAGCTGAATTGTGATGCGAAACTTCACAAATTTCTTACCTTTCTCTCATCTTATGACAGACATTCAGCAATGAGTGGGGAGCAGCAGGCGAGACAGGAGAGGTCTGCTGCTCCATGTGGGTCAGCTCCTTGGCCGGGGATTGAACTCATGCTACAGTGGCTGTGGATAGCTTCCCAGTTCTGTGCTTAATCCCTTGCACCACCAGGGAAGCCCGAGCTCACCTTCTTGTTGGCATCGTCCCTCCCCATCTGCACACCGCTCCCAGGAGATACAGACAGGTTTTGGGGTGACTTGGAGATAATATTTTCCCTGTGAGATCCAGGAAAGAATGGAGTCAAGTTCAAGTAAATTTCTACTACAAAAAATGAGAGATTCTCTTTATTCAAACTTTGTCAGGTGGTCCATGGTAGGTCACAATCCAAGTCACTTTCCCAGAGAGCCACTCTGCCCACTTCATGGGCACAGGAGTCTTTGTCCTAGTCCATCCAGGTTAGGGCAGCCTGTTGGAGTCTCCAGAATGCCAGGAGAACCCTGATCCTGAGCCTAGTTTCACAAACAGCCTCAGAACTCATATTTGATTCTCCATCTCAGACTCTAAAGCCTGGCGTCAGGATGTCTGGGGTCTGGGTCTGGGTTCTCAGTGGGCCTCTCCCCACACCCCTAAAGAAGTGGTTCCCATTGAAACCTAAGAAGCCACATCTGTTTTGTTGTTGACATAGCAGCAATCGTTTGCACTGGAGTCTTGCAACTCCTGTAAAAGGAAGAAGACTCTTAGCCCCTGTAACCTTCTCAGAACATGCCCAGCTTCTCCCAGGCTATGGGGCCTCTCTGTGGAGGGCCTGGCTATGCTGAGAGGGTGTTTCTGCCTCCAGGTTCCTCCCTCCTCAACCAGCCCCTGTTCCCCTTTTCCTCCTGTTTCCTGACATCAAGGCATAGGCGGGGTGGCTGGAGGTAGACACTGGGCTCCCCTGGGCCAGCAGGACAGGACACTCATCAACCAAATCACCTCATAGATGTGAATAGATGATCTGGGGTCAGGTCTGGTGGTCTGGTCAGGGGGAGAGAGCAGGTGTCAGAGGACAGGAAGGGAGGGTCATTTCCCCTCAGGAGGGACCAACTCTGTCTCCAGATCAGCCCACTCCAAGTCTGTAACCACAAACCCAAAAGCTAGTCCTTGCTGCACCTCAAAACACTTCTTATCCCTGGAAACTTGACTCATGCTCCCAGCTCCTATTCTGCTGGGGTTCGCCTCACTGAGTGAGGGAACTAGTGGTCTCCCTGTGGGGACTGTGACCCTAAAATTAGGCCCAGTTCAGGTCAATGAGGCCTCAGCCTTGTGTTGGCTGTACTGGGGGAGGGAGACTATGCTGTGCTGTGGGCCTGACAGTTCCCCTCACCTTGAGCCTGTACAGCCTGGACCCCAGGGGGAGGGATGGGGTATACTTACCAAGGTGGAAGAATGGCTTGAGGGACCAGCACCTGGGAGTAGAGAAAGGAGTTAGCACCCACGGGTGTAAGGAAGCCTGAATCCATCCTCCCATAAATGGCTGGGGCCTCAGTCTCAAAGAACCAGGGGAGAAGTAACAGCCCCCAGGGTGAGAACTGGGACCATTTTAAGGTCTAATGAATGGATGGTGATGACGCACGATCCAGATCCTACAAGTCAGGGCTGACTTACCAGTTAGAGTTCCCTGGGCTGAGTGATTTATGAGAACCCTCCTGAGCCCCAAGAAAGGGTCAGAAACCAGGGTGACAGACAGGAGTGGACACTGGAGAGAGTCAGTGGTTCCCACCTCTTCCTTGGGAACAGATACTTACCAGGTGTGGACTCTTGCTGCTGTTGCACTCTGAGGTTGTGCTTACCACTTGTCCTAGGAAAGGTTAGCTTATTAGCGAGGGGCCATGTGTGTGCAGGACACTGGGGGAGCCCCGGTATGTGGGTCTCCCTGAATGAAGTGCCCCTTCTGTGCAGACTGCCTCAGGCCAGGAGATGCTGAATGTGACAGTGGCCTCACCCTTCTCCATCTGCCTTGACAAGAGGCACAAGCGCACCCCAGGCCCTGCCCTTCTGGCCGGCCCACCGCCTCCTGCCTCACACTGGGAGTCAGACATTTTCCATGTGGGGGACATATTATCCCACAAAACCTGTCCAGGCTCTTCCGCCCCCTGTGTGTGACCTGGGCCAGGACATCCTCAGATCTGAGGCTGCACAAGCCCCTCACTGGGAGGGTGGATTTAGCCAACAAGAGGGGGCACTACTACTGAGCCCTTTCCTGCCTACCTGCTGGGGGTTTGTGAGGGACAAGGACAGCCCTGAGGGGGCCTTCCCTGAGCTCATGGATAGATGAGAAGGCCCTCAGGCCAGTAGCTTGTGAGGGAGGAGCTGGATGGGGTGAGAGGGAACAGCCATGGGGAGGTGGAAGGCCACAGGAGCCAGACACAGAATCCAAAGACGGCCCTGAGATCCAGCTGTTCTATTCCAATTTGACAGATAGGGAAACGGCCTTAGAAGGCTGGGTGTCTTGCCTGAGCTCAAACAGCTGGCACATCAGAACAGAAACCTTCCTCCTGGCCTGAGGTCAGCCTGGGACAGGATCAGAGAGGTAGGAAATGCTGGCATACCTCCTAGAGTTTTTCACGAGCACGACACACCCCAGGACAGCTGCCAGTGCCACTAGTGCCATTGTGCCACCGATCACAATATCATTCTTGGCCCCTGCCCAGAGGCCTGTGGTATCTCCTCCTGCTGAAAGCAGAAGAGCAAGTAGAGGTGAAACCCAGGTCATTCAGAGGGGAAATCTCCAGGGCCCTTGAAGGAAGAAACTGGCGAGGGGAAGGAAAGGTCACTGGCCTGTGTGAGGTTGTGGGTCATCCTGAGTGTCTCCAGATGCCTCTCCCGGCTGCTGCATCCTTCTGATTTCACAGCCGAGACCTTAGATTTGCTGCACCCCTCACATTCTCCCCCACGCAGCTGTACCGCTTCCCGCCATTTTCCCTTATGGCCTCTCTTGTCACACTCTGCTCGTCCTTCTTCCCTGTCCCGTCACTGTGCACGGTCTCTGAGGGCAGAGCCCACCATCACCTCAGCGCTGACGAGGAATAATAATATGAGCCGATGTGTCCTGCTCGGCCTGTGCCAAGTTCGTGGAAGAACTTTCCATTCCCTCACCAGGTCCTCCTTCCCAGGAGAGAGAGGGTGTCAGCCCCACCCTGCATAATCAGAACCTGACAGAAATGCTGAAATAGTACAGGGTACAGGGGTCACAGAGCAGAAGAGATAAAACAAAATCGCAACCATCTTCCGCTTGATTTATAGCTCATAACAAGTGTTAATAAAAATTCTAGCAGAAAACATTCCTTGAGCCCTGATTCTGTACAAGCCTGACTAAGGGATTTCATCTCCTTAGCATCCTAATAACACCCTCACAACAGCCTGAGATCCAGCTGTTCTATTCTAGTTTGACAAATGGGGAAACTGAGGCTCAGGAGGTTGAGAGTATTGCCCGAGGTCAGACAGCTGGGTCATCAGAACCAGCAAGATTGGCCTAATTCCGGTTCTTAATTCCAGTTCTTACCCATGTTGCCCACAGGCTCTGAGGGGGTGTCCACTCCTCAAGACTTGTCCATTTCACACCCCTCCCCTCAGTGAGATGTGCAAGGGGGAAGTGAGAGAGGTTTAGGGTCACTCACCGTTCACAGTGAGGGTGAGGGAGTCACTTTTGCTGGAACTGACCAGGTTGGAGACCTCACAGTGATACTCCCCGGCATCCTCCCTCCTGATGGGACTGATGGTGAGGGAGCTCTTGTCCTGGGACAGCGTCATCCTGTCTGTGAGCCGCAGACGCTGGTTATTGAGGAGCCACAGGATGGAGATCCCAGTGTCTCTTGTGAGGCAGGTCAGGATCACGGAGTCCTTGTGTTCAGTGACTGTGGTGCTGCTGGCTTGGATGGAGGGTAGGGCCACTGGCTCTGTGGAGAAACAGTGAAGGTGACTGAGTGAGAGTGGGCCTGGGCCTGGCCCATGCTCCCTCCTCAGATCTCAACCCCTCACAGGCCACAGTGAGGATGTAAAAGGTCAATTACCTCTGCAGGAGGTAAAATATCTGTGTTCAGGTGATGGTGTGTAAGGAGAGGGCGGCACCTGCCCTCTGACTCCAAGATGACCCCAAGTGACCTTTAACCAATCCACCCAGGCATTTCTATAGTGTTGGCACCAGGGACCCCTCCTCAGCTCACGTGTCCAGCAACCTCATCCTCAAGTGGAATTTTTCTCTCATGGACTCGTGTGTGAGCCTGTCCTCGATCTTTCTTTGTGTTATACAAGATTAGATGCCTGTCAGCTTTGGTACCTGATTATGGAGAAGGGAAGATGCTTCACTGCAGGAGGCCTTGCTGCCCCAGCCAGGTAAGACACTGGCAAGCAGCTAAGAAAAGGGCCTCACACCGTGGGGCCGAAGTTTAAAGAGCCTCACACCGTGGGGCTGAAGATTTCTTGTGCCTCACACCGGTGGGACTGAAGAGTAAACATTCCTTTGTTTTTTGTTCTTGGTCATAAAAAGAAAAAAACCTTATGGAATATACGTTGGGCAATAATTATAAGTATAGGAATATTGTAAGTACTTGGCATAGAAAATTACTTGCTTAAAAATTGAACGCTGAATAATTTGGCCCACTTGACAATGGGAAATAATTATTGTGCGGGGCATATCTGATAAGCAACCCAGAGCTGGTCATAATAATATTCCTCATATGGAAGTTCTGTAGAGAAGCCTTGTAATGAATCATGAAATTAATTACGCTAAGAGTTTCTGGGTAGAAGAAAAAAGTTTTAATAACTGATTACCGGGAAGCAACTGGTCTCTAGCTGCAGGCCATATAGATAGAGGAGTCTCCTGATTGTGTAGCCTTGGCGATGGGGCGGTACCAAGGACTGTTAGTTGACCTAGGTAGTTGTTTAGGCTGAAATAATGAGTCTAAAATTTAATTATCTATTAAATTTTAAGGTCGTTTCTTTTCTCAAAAACATGTAGGAGCCACAATGACTATGGGAAAGGAATGTATTGTTTTTGTTTTGCTTCTGTGCATACGATGATGTAATCCCATCGCTTGCTTTAATGTACAAATAAAGACCCGCTGAGACCCTCAGCAGGAGATGCTTTCACCAATATAAGAGTGTCTGTATCTGCCTCACCTCCCCCTCCCTTCAGTCCTAAGGTTTGGCCTAAGCCGTCTCATCCTTTCAGGGACACCTGACCCGGCATTTTGCCAAAAGCTGGTCTTCAACATGCTTCCTTTTCAAAAATGCAATTTATTGGAGTCTGAGAATGGGCCAGCCAATCTTCATCTCTTTAGCATCTAAACATGTTTCAAATCACAGGATTCCTCAATTTGAATAGGACTTTTCCTTTTAGGCCCGTTGTTTGAATATCACTGAGAAAGAACTCTCTAGAGCCACCATGGTTTTAACAAAAGGCTGGTGTCTCTGTGAACTGCATACTTTGTGACTCAGCCTCTGCCATCCCAATCAGGTACTTCATGGGGGTATCCCCCTGTTTTCCCAAGTCTGCCCACTTCTCCCTGTTCTTCAGGAAATCGCACATGCTGGTGTCACCCAGCTCCTGCGGCTAAGGCCAGGACATGCTCAGAGCAGGGGGCCACGCGGCTCCTCTCTCCCCCCTGCCCTGCAGCCTGATCTGATGAGGGCTCTGGGCCAGTAGGTGTAGTTTCTCCAGGTTCAGGACTGGCCCATGCAACTCCTCCATGAGCCCCAGCCCCACCTCTGGGCGCTGAGAGCAGAGTTAATCATCAGGCAAGTCAGGCGCAGAGCAGGGCCCTGTCCTGTCACCCTCCTTGGAGGTGATTTCAGTTTCTCATTTGGGAAAAAGAAGTGATCTGGGTTCAAAGCCTTGTAGGTTCCTTGTAGCATGTGGAGAAGTTAAGGCGTGTGAACACAAGGAAGGAAGTTCTCCTTGGGGGACGTTGTTCCTTCCCCATTGCGGTGGGGCTCCAGGTCTGAGAAAGTCCCTTTCCTATATTCTAGGGTGGACCCACATCTGCCATGAGACAAAGGGAGCGAGGGACACAGGGTCTAGAGGGGTGTATTTGTTGGGGGGCTTCTCAGGGACAGGTTTGGGGTTTGTTTGTGTTCATGGGAAGTAACTTCTTTCAGGTTGCTTTCTGAAAACCAACATTCTCCATCCAGAGATGGTCCAGGGAGCCACTTACCAGAGACTTTGATCGTCCTGACTGTGGTCCTATTGAGGCCAGTGACAGAGTTATGGATGAGGCAGTTATAGGATCCACCATCACTTAGAGATGTTGGGGATAAAGAGCACCTGCATGGGGCTTTGGGGTCTCCCATTGATCAGCCAAGAAGACTATGTGGGTGGGAATGGAGCCTGTGTGGCAGGAAAGACTGGGCACTGCCCTTGGATGCCCCTGCCTGGCTTTGCCTGGGGCGGGCAGTCATGCCCAGCTCGGGTGTCCTGGGCAGGGCCGTGCACGTGGACCTGAGGGGGACAATGGGGTCTGGGCTCTGGCTTTGTGGGTGTGGGGCAGCCCGGGCCACGTCGGGACAGGAGTTACTCAGAGAACATTCAGAGGGTGAGTGGGTCGCTGCAGTGGGCACTGACTGGGTTCCGGGTCTCTCACACATAGGGTCCTGTGTCAGTCCTGGTGAATTCAAGTACCTGAATGTCCAAGAGCCCACGGCTGACCAGATATAGGAGCCATGCAGCCTGATGCCCTCCAGGATGAGCAGCCCTGAGTCAACTGGACACGGGCTCCCTGGGCACTTTAGGAGCAGGTGGTCAGAGGACAGGGGATGGGTCCTAGTTTCTGGAGAGACAGGGGCCCATCCACATTCAGTGTCTGATAAAAATATAAATTATTAATGTATCAATTCATCCACCATTCTTTCAGTCTTCAGCAAAGAAATATTGAGAGTTTGTTCCATGTTGAGTCTTCACTGGCAGCAGGTACAGATTAGGGCAAGTCAGCTTCTCTCCAGTGGGAGTGACCCCAACACATCAGGAAGGAACAATGAATGATTTCTCATTCAGTGCAGGGAGGTGTGGGTGGGCGAGTGAGTTCCCATCCAGCGCTGACTCTGCTGGAGGATGCGGGTCATTTAGTTCTAGAGTCAATGGGGGTCATTTCATTTTGCTCTCACTCCCCAGACCAGAATCTGTGTCTGAAGGATCTGAACCAGCTGCTGGTGTTAGGATCCACAGATCCCGCCCCCCCCCATGAGGAAAGAGCAGGGCTATGACTGCAAAAAGGTCCTAGGGTCACTCTGATGTGGGGTCCTGGTCTGAGTGACCCAGAGTCATTTATCCTTGTAACTTGTTCCTCCTCGATAAAATAGGGTAAATAGTAAATAGTCTCAGGCCTCCCGTGTCTGTGAATGAACCTTCAGTCTTTCACAATAACCTGACCGGAGGCTTGTGTAGAGGAGCTGCCCAAATAAGTGGCATCTGGTATTGCTTGCTAGAGGGCCCCTTGGGCCGATCCCAGAAAAATCTTCTCTCCTCTGTCCCTCCCTGGAAACACTGACCTTCCTTTGGGGTCTCCTATGTCCCCAGAGCTGTCAGCTAATGACCAGGGACCTGCGATCTCCATGCCAAGTCTCAGGTGAAGACCAGACTCTCTTCCTGCCCAGAGGGGCTCTTGGGGCTGGGCCCTGACCGGTGACCCTCTTGGGAGCCTCAGGGCTCAGGTTTTCAGGAAATTCCCACAGCCCCATCTATGAGGACAGATCCCACCCCTGACAGGGCCTCCTCGCGGTCACTGGGGTGGGGAGCCCTGGGACAGGGTCTGGTCGGGGGCTTCCTGGGATGGAGCTTCTCTGTGAGGATCCAGGCTCCCCAGGTCAGGCCCTGACCAAGACTTTCAGGGTATTTCTAAGGTCGTGGTCTCAGGGAACAACCCAAGGGAGACTGACTCCCCTCTGCTGCAATTACTCCATCAGACTGGTTCCTCTTTCCCAGGGAATGAGGCAGGACTGGATTCAGTAGGGCCTTCAGTCTTATACACCTTCTCCACTCTGTTTCCTGGACTAAATGCTCAAACCCCAACCTCACACACAGTTGGAGGGGATGAGGCACAACCAGGCCCATGAGTCCTGTGTGTGTGAAGCAGAATGTGCCCCACCCGAAACTGAGAAGTCAGAGAGGAATTACTCACCAAGTACTTGGAACCATCCTGTTCCTCCTCCACTGGAGAAGTCATCGTATAAAACTAATACGGTGGTGTCTCCTGTGTCCGCCTTGGTAACCTTCTGGATGAGCAGGGATCCATTGGGGTATATAGTCTCTCGACCGCTGCACATGGGCCCGGGGGTGGTATTTTGAGTGTCTACTCTATAGGATATAATAAGTTGACTGCTGTCCACACCTCTTCCTTTATACCAGTCATATTTTAGAGGTTTCTTTGACAAATTGTAGACACGCAGAAGAACATCTTTCCCTTCAGCAACATTAGCAGGCTCTGGTTTAACAGTCAGCTGGGCAGTGGCTGACGGGATCCAGAAGGTTGAGAGTGAGACTAGAAACAAAGTGAGAGAAATTGATAAAAATTTTGCCCTATGTTGTCAAGAGAAGATGAAGCTTAGGGACTGAGCAGTTTCTTAATCTCTTTGTCTGTGTGTGTGTGTGTGTGTGTGTGTGTGTGTGAGAGAGAGAGAGAGAGAGAGAGAGAGAGAGAGAGAGAGAGAGAGAGACATGTTTACAAGTTAAAGGTCAGCAGCATGACCACGTTACTACAGACGCTCTGACCTTGTTCTTCCCTTTGTTTGAATACTCTCCCCAGCTGTGTGTCCTCCCACCACCCTGCCCTCAGACCCCTGCTCACCCTCGGGGCGTTCTTGGGATACGTCCCTGACCCCCTGCTCTGAAGACCCTCTGTCCTCACTGTGTGACCTTCCCCTGCTCTGTGACTTTCAGGACACTTGTCAGCACCTGACAGCACTTTCTAGAACTTTGTTATCTGTCTTCCTCCTCAAGAACATGAGCTCCATGTGAGGAGGGAATTCTCTGGTCTTCTTGTCCCCTCTGTGGTGGGTCAGGCTGCCAATCCCTGTGGATGAGCAAGTGAGTGTCCCCAGGGCCTCCATGTCCAGGTGTTTACTTGCCGGGTATAACGATAATGAGTAAAGACAATGCATGCTGCCATGGTTATATTTATTCTGGAGGGACACTGACAAATTGTTACTATTGTCTTCAGTTTTCAAGAATCATGCTCAGTGATGAATAGCATGAAAAACTGTATGCCATTGAGATTTTCCTTCCCCTCACTGCCTTAGATCATGAGAAGTGTTTGTTGGTAAGTTCCTGTCCCCCATCTACTCTACTCCCCTGTCCAAACAGATCCCTCAGGTCCAAACAGAAGCCCTGTGTCCCCTCTCAGAGCTCTGTCCTCTTGGGAGACTCCAGCCAGTCTGTCTCCACCCTCTAACCACCCCTTCTTACCTGCCAGCAGGAGCCCCTGCCAGGGGACTTGGCCTCTGCGTCCATGGGCTGAGGGGGCCTCCATGGTGTCTGCTGCCTGCTCTGTGCTCCCTCTAAGAGAAGAGCTGGGGATCCAGAGAGGCTCATATGTAAGGTGCTTCCTCCTTTGTGCTAAGCCCTCCTCCTCCTTAAGAGGAGGGACAGGGCCTCCCCAGTGGCGCAGCGGTTGAGCACTGGGTTGTGAAGCTGCCAGCGGCCTCTGCAGCACCGGTTTGATCCCCGGCTCCTCCCTGGCCACCGGAGGAGGGTCCCGCATGGCGCGCAGACCTCTCCTGCCGCCCGCTGCTCCCCTCAGCAGTGTACTTCGGTCCTTCTGCCTGCTCTGCTCCCCGCTTTGGCTCTGGTGAATTCTCTCACCCTCCCGCGCTTCTGCCTGTACCCAGTGCTTGTATACATAAATAAATCTTAAAAAAAAAAAAAAAAAAAAAAAAGAGGAGGGACAGCCCTCCTCTTAAGGAGGAGGAGGAGGGCTTAGCAGGATCATGTGACTTGGGGCCAGGATCTCTGTACTGAGCCCCACTCGTCCCCTCCCCTCATTCCTGTCTCCCTGTCTCTCCTCTTCATTTCCTTTAGGTCTGCATTTCTGTTTCCTAGGAGTTGCCGAGGCCCTCAGTGAAGGGGCGCACCTTCATCTCTAGGGGCTGTAGCCGGAACATAACTCAGGGGTAGACACTCAGGACCTGGGTATCCAAGAAGGAACAGTAATTCCTAGAGAGTGAAGTAGAATCCAGTGTCCTGGGAGGAAAGGACTTTGGTAGTTAGTCCCTTGGGGCTGTGGGCCACAAGGTCACAGGGTCAAGTCTCAGCCAGACTCTTGTATGGGGGTCTAACTGATAAGCTGTGTCCCAGAGGATGGTCCATGTTATCCCCGGCTGTCCCTGAGGTCACTTTCCTCCTCCCACCTGACTCTCCCCTGAGGGTGCCAGTCAAGGAGTGGGAGCTGCGGTGGGACCCCCCACCACAGGACAAGCTCTCAGACACAGGAGGGGGTGATGTGGACAGAGCGTGGTGCTCAGGGCTAGGGAGTCTCATCTGTAGTGGGAATGGTTCAGCCCTCCCAGAGCTGACATCTCCTGCATCTGGGGTGAAAGAATCAGGGCCCATCTGGCTCTTTTGTGAGAAGAGGAAGGACACCCAGTGTCAGGAAAGCCCATATGCAGAGAAGTTCTCACAGCTGAGAGGTGAAGGTGGGGCGGTCATAGCCACAGCTGAAGGAGCTTATCCCTTACCCCTGTGCATACTGTAGAGCTCTGTCCCCTCCTAACCTCCTGCGGAGGCAGCCTCCATGTTCCAGGAGAACAGTATACACATGGGCATCTCCCTGGATGGTGCCACACTGGCTCTGAACTCTGGATCCAGTGGATCAAGTGTGTTTCTGCTTCATCGAGATCCACTGTCATGAGGAGGCTCCTGGAACCTTCCTCCTGATCAGTCCTGGGAACACTCCCAGGTTCCCACAGAGGACAGGCCTGATATGGTCCCTGCACTTAGGGAGGAGCCAGCCCTGAGTCGTGGTTACAGAGCAACTAGTCAGTGATGGTGGAGGGGGTGAGGGAAGGGCCCAGTGTGGTCGTGGTTCGTAATGGAGCCCCCTTGGGGTGTGTCCTACCTGGGACCTGAGTGTTGGCAAGTGAACATTCACTCAGTTACAGATGGAGGAGGATGTGAGGGAGGAGCTGCCTGCAGAGGACGGGCCTTCAGGGCCAGACACCTGGCTGGATGAGGGGCTGAGAGTCCAGTGTGGGGAGTGCAGAACGAGGCAACCTCTGGCTGAGGTGACATGGGGCTCAGAACGTAGGCTGAGGATCAGGCTGAGGGGGCTCAACATTACCCGGGGAGGCTCCAGTCTCTTTCAGCCTGTTTGTAGCTGGAGTTTCTGGAGAGGGCCCAGGAGCCGCCTCTTATTTCACATTTGAATTTTGAAGGACAGTTATTCCTAACTGGTTGGATATTTATGGGTAGACTCTTATGGAAGGGTGCCCTCTTTCATTATTGTAAAAATGAATGCATTGAACTCCAGAACTCTTTTAAGGAAGAACAAATAACTAAGTTGGTTTTAGCAGTGCCTGTTGTGCACATTTTCTTCTTGAGGTGATTGCCCGTGCTGCTCATGCCACCTTCCACCCCCAGCTCAGGATGGGCTGGTGCCTGGTCTCAGGGAGAGCAGAGGGGAACTCACATAGTGATGAGAGGGTGTCACACAGGAAGAGTGGTTCTTGAGTAGACGGTTAAGCTGCCTTGTGGAGAGGTTACCCAGATAGTGACCGTATTTGTGGCCACGTCCCATTTCTGGGCAAGACCCCTAGTTTATATTCTTCAAGATAGTGAAGTGGGTGGGGAAGAATTTCCTGAGTCCCAAGGCCTCCACTGAGCTTCGACTGAATAATCCACATGTCAAAGCAGCATATCTTGTGGACACTATCTGGACCCTCTGGGCGGCCCAACCTCTGTTCCCCCGCTCTGAAGTCCCTGGAAGTGTCTCATGCAGAAGTTGGGTTGGTCGATTGCGCCATCTCGTGGTCGATTGCTCTGTCTGCAGGTCAGCGATTCGCTCTCCTTAGTTAAACACTATTTTATTTCTGGTGTCCCGGATGCAGGTGGCCAAGTCCATATGTTTGAAAACAATGTGTGGAACTATTGTGGTGAGAATCATGTTTCCCTCCTTTTCTGAGGGACATGAACATTTGTGCAAAGCCTGTGGAGTGACGTTTGTTTGTCCGTGCTGACCCAAATCAAACATAGACATCCGCTCTGCCCCCAGTGTCCACGTCAGCAAAATGACACCTAATCACAGTTGTTGCTGCAGGCATAGTTTATAGCAGAATCTTGGAATCAAGCTAATTTGTTATCAGTATAATCCTGAGTGGAAGATTCCAATGTGCAGCCACCAGGGTATAGAATGCAGCTGCCTAAAAAAACAAGGCCTCTTCTTAGTTGTGGATGTGCAAACACCTCCCTGTTGTGGTTACTTGTGTCATGTAAATAGCAGCTAAGAAGTGCACCACTCATAATCATACCCGATCTTAACAGACGCTGGAGCTGAGTTGATAAGTGCATGTCCTCTTCCCAATAAAATCTGCACTTCCTGCTCTTGTCTTATTTTGTCTTTTCTGGTTTCACTTTTCCAGGCTTTTTCATCCTTTAATTTGGACTCAATCTGATGTAATGATGTGTCTTCTCTTCCTTTGAATGTTACTCACTCCATCCAGTTTTGCGAATAATTTTTATAGGCCTTATTGCTTTTTGGTGCCCAAATGATGACACTTGCTAAGTGGGGTCCTTTCAGATTGCTCTGTGTTTTCAGTGCTCCCTGAAATGTTTTAAAGGGTTCCTGGCTATTAACCTTCATGGTTTTCTTAAAAAAGCACTGATTTCTCCTGCTCACAATCTGGACTTACCTGTGGGAAGGGCAGTGAGGTTGTGTGGGTGGAGGGGTGGGGAGCACACTGTGGGGAAGCGTGGGTGCTGGAGCAGGAGGCACTGAGGGCTTCCACACTCCAGGTGTGTTTCAGGTATGTTCTTGTGAGGAGGATCACGTGAAGGAAATAACTGATTCCTGAGAGCTTATCCTGTGCTCCCACCCTCCCCACATGTCCACAGCCCATCCTCTGAGGGACTCAGGGGCCCCTCCACTGTGGAGATGGAGCATCTGAGACCAGCAACATGTAGCAGCTGGAGTGAATGTGACCTTAAGTCAAAATAGACAGTCTAATGAAAGAAGTGTGACTGGGGGTCTTGGGTCCGAGAGCATCCACTCTGTGGTCAAGGTGTCCTCATGAGCCCCCACATGCATGTGAAATGCCAGTGACCAGTCAGAGGGCACAGGGTCTGGCCCAACCCCCACTCCCCACCAGGAGATCTGGGCAGCCCCTGGGAAGAGCAGGAGCCTCACAGCAGGACCAAGAGTCAGGAGTGCAAGGGGGAAGTTGAGCCTTTGAGGTTCTGGGGACTGCAGACCTGTCCTCCTCTACACTCCATGTAGAGTTATACAGAGTTGATTAAGGGTCGCATGCCCTTGTTGTGTGTGCATGTTCCACATGTTGGCATCATGGAGGCCAATGGACAAAGATCCAGTGAAATCTGGTTCTCCTGTGTCCTGGAAAATTGGTCTTGATGGAGACTCAAGTGTCTGCTGCTCCTACAAATTCTGCGTCCTTTCCATACCCAAGACGGCAGGTCTCACAGGTGTCAGTAGGAAGGGAACAGAGCAGTCAGCCTGCAGTGGGAGTGTCTGAGGGGGCTGCAGGGTGGAGGAAACTGTGTAGGGTGTGGCAGTGCCTGCTGGAATGAAGGGGGAGGAAGATAGGCAACATGGAAGAGCAGAGAGTGCAGAAAAGTCCAGGGTTCCTGGCAGTGGATTACATGTGACTCCAGGCACTGAGAGCCCAGGACACCCTAAAGGCAGAACAGTGCAGCCCTAAAACTCTCCCCGAGGCTGAGGAGGCCCAGGTCATGATGACTCAGGGCTCCCAGGATCACCATTGGGGCAGAGAGTCAAAGAACAAAACACTGGTTTCGGCTCCTACAGAGACAGGCCAGAGCCACCGAGGACTCTGCATCCAGGTTCCAGCCTCAGAGACTGTCAATCGCTCATGCATTCCTTCACCATTAATCCTTCCACCTTATAAAAGAGTAGTTGAACTTTGCTACAGGTGGGCCTGTGCAGGTGCAGGTATAGAACGGGGAGTGAGAAAATTTCTTTCCCAGTGGGAGTGACACCCACACATCACGTTTGGCCTCCCCAAGATGGCTAAGACCCAGTCCCACCCTCAGGAAGAACAGGCCTTCCTGAGACCAGTCAATTTACCTTCTCTGACAGTGTTTGGAGGTGCCCAGTGCCAGATAGAATTAATACTTCCTTTTTTTGGGGGGGGGGGCGCCTGTGTATAAACATTGGTAGCTCAATATTGTCGCATGGCATTTCCATCACTCGTGAAGCTTCCTATCTCTTCCTAAGTTAATCGATAGATCTAGTGTGATGTCTTTGGAAATGTGCTGCTCACATATTTTACCCATTAAAAAAAA